TGGCTTCTGCAGGCTTCCCAATGCCAATGTAGACTTCAGCTGTGGCGGGGAGAGCAGAAGACAGATGCTTTACTGGTTCGCCGCCCTTCTGAGGCCCTGCGAACGGCTGTGACTCTAGGTGGGGACACTTACATCCCCCCCACGGGAGTCTGGCAGGGACCCATCTGGAATCCGCAGGGCCCAGAGCCAGCCAGTCCCCCAGCCTGAGTCGAAACAGCTGCAGTGACGGCCCTTCCCGCCCTCGGTTACACCGGGACTCGAGTCTCTCTGGCTGCAGGGCCTTGGAAGGTACACGAGTCGCCACCAGCCAGAGGGGAGTGAGGCCTGCCTGGCGCCACCCCCCACCCCCACCCTCAGGGCTGACCTAGGGCACCTTGGTGTCCGGGGCACCTGCCCTCGGCTCTGAATCCACAAAGAAAGGGCCGGGACGAGCTGAAGGCCAAGAAAACCAGAGGCACGCGGCCCCTCAAGGGGGACAGCTCTGCCCTCCGGCCTGTTTTCCTGATGCCGAAAAGCATACAGAGGGAGCGACTGTGGCCGCCATGTTCACGGGCATGAAATAAAACGGCGGGTCCATCAGACCCTGCCCTCCAACCAGTAAAAGCTACTGCGCCCTGGAGACCATCAACTGTATGACACCGACAAAGCCCTTTGAAAACCAAGCTGTCACTTTCAAAAAGGCAGGAAAACGACCTTTCCTGCAATGTCGGGCCTCAGCTCTCGCAGGTGGAGTCCCGAATCGCTTTGCGGCCCCTGCCTCCCAAAGGGCCCATCGCGCACGGCCGCCCACCTGTCTCTCGGGCACACTCAAGTGCCCCTTCTCCTGAGGCCTGTGACCCCAGCACCACCTTCTTCCCGGCGCTGGGCAGGTGTCTCCAAAGACTTCAGACCCCTCTCCTCTCTCCTCACCGTATCTGTCAGGACTACTGCCCAGAGTCCTACTCGGCTGGCCGCTGTGCCCTGGGGCCTACTGACTGCTTCTACCTCCAAGGCAGCCCCCGGCTCATCGGCTCCTGCCTGGACCCCCACCCCCTCACCCCTGGTGGTCAGCGACATCTGCACCCATGCCCCCCAAGTTACACATACAGTAAAATGTTATGTGTCATATAATGCGGGCCGAAGTAGAAGGAGTAGAACACAACACAAAAGAAATAGAAAAGTCCTAGTATTTTCCTTGTGCACTTCAGGAGCTGTGTACTGGAGGCCACTTTGGAACTGCCCTGACCAGGGCAGGCCCTCCTTGGGCCCCTCACCTGCTGCCTGCCACACCTGTCTGTCCCACACAGCCACTGCCAGGTCAGCCTCCCGAGGCAGAGCTCGGGGCCGGTCAGCCCACCTGCAGAAAAGCGCCCCTTCCTGAAGACCTGCTGCTTCTGTTCAGCCCTCACGCCCTTCAGCCTGCCTTCCAGCGGCCTCCCGGGGAGGCCTTCCCTGACCGTCCTGCTTAGCCTGCTGCTCCCCACGTACTCAGCATGACCCTGTTCCATGCTGTTTTCTTGTCCTCCATAATTTCGACCAACAGGTTCCTCTCGTTGGTTTCCTGTGCTGTCTGTGTGTCCCCTGCAGAACGTAAGCCATCAGCACACGAGCACAGGGACTGTGTGCGTGTTGTTCACCGCTGTGTCCCCGGGGATGGGAACAGCACCTGGCCCAGTCGGAGCTCAGGGAAGAGTCGCTGAGCGAATGAATGAATGAATGAATGAATGAGTAACAGTAACAATAGTAGCTAACATTCATTAAGCATGTGCCTTATGCCATGTCTCTTTCATCGGCACACAATGCCATAGGTACTATTATTTTATCCCCATTGTACAGATGAGGAAACTGAGGCACAGAGAGGCTGAACAACTTGTCCAAGGTTTCAGGGCAAGTTGGAGGCAGAGCCTGGTTTGGGCCTCTACAGAGAACAGTGGCCCTGACCCCAGATAACATCCAGATCCCTCGATGACTGGCTCCACGGCCCTTACGAACCTGTGTCTCTACTGCTCCCCGACACCCTAAGCCCTGGTGAGCCGCTGCTGTTTCCACACACGTGTCCAGTCTTCTGCCCCTTCCTGTGGTGCCATTCTCCCCCCACTGAGGCCTGCTCAACAGCCGTCATCCCTGGCAGCCAGCTCTTCCCCTCAGAGGGGAGCCCGGCCTCTGCGGTCTCTGATGGCTGCGGCCCTAGATGTGTTTCAGTGAAGGGTCTGGGGTCCGCTTGCGGACAGCACACTTTCTGTCTCCCCACCTGCAGCTTTGGGCCCAGAGGCTGGAAAAGGGCAGGTGTGGATCACACACTTGGGGTGTGTTCATGTTGACTACTTTTTGACCTCAACCAGCCTGATGGCCCCTCTCCTCGAGCCCCCTCTCTTTCCCAGGGATGGTCACCAACCACTGACTCCTCAGGCAGGGACAGAGCCCTGGGGAAAGCGGGCCCCGCACCGCCCGTCTGTTCTTCCGATCTGTGGGTGCCCTCTTCGACAGGGAGCACAGACATGACGGGCTGGCCCAGGGGTCCCTCAGACGTGGAAACTCGGGCCACTGAAATCCAGCCGAGCCCTGACGGTAGCAATGCCGGCACCGTGCCTGTCTCCCGTCCTCTGGAGGTTCAGCTCACCGGGTAGTTACTGAGCTCCTATGACACACAGGGACTCTGCAGAACAAGGGTGAAAGTCTGTCCCCGGTGAAAGTCTGCCCCTCCTGGGAAGGACACGGCAGGGCTGTCTGATGTCTCTCACCATGCAATTCCCTCCCGGCTCTAGCCAGCCGGCTGCGTGCCCACTGCAGTTTCAGGTTACTTGAGTGTGCCAGTGACTTGGGAGAGCTGTACAGAACGTTCCTCCCACTGTATGCTTGGCTCCTGACTTGCTCCCATTTTGGGGGTGGGCTTGTGTACATTTCTGAGGTCCCCAGGGCCGAGAGCTGACTGGGTGGGTGATACACTGGGCCTCTGTCATCTAAATCACTATGAAAAAAGACCAGCTTGGGAGTGGGGACCGAATGCTTCTAGAATTTTTATAACAAGAATCAAGGTGGGGCGGTGGGGGGGGGGGGGGCGGGCTTAAACACCAGCATGACAATGTACCCATCAGCCCTGTTCTAGGAAGGTTCTCCGTGGGACCATGTATCTTCATGACCACCGTGTTGTCATCAGCCACGTGTCTGATGCTATTGCTTCCTTCCTGAGGAATCGATTGGAAGACAGAGACTCAGCTGAGTCATGATCATGACAGTGGGAGAAAGAATCTAGGCCTCCACGGATTTCTTTTCAGTGGTGCAGAAGTTACAGGAGGAAACCTATGTCACTGGCAAGGCCTGTGCTCCTCACATAGGTGGGGCAGACAGATGCATGGCCTGGCTGTTCCTAAATGCATCCATTTGAAGCTCAAATGGAAGGACACGGGGCAGATATCCTGTGGTGATTTTCAAACCATTTCCTCCAAAGGAGCCTCTTTTTCCAAAGGGATCTTAAGAGTGGCAGCTGGCCTCCCTCTTGGTTTGGTCCCCTCTTCCGGCCTCTGAGGCACCTCTGGGGACCTCAGGGCTCTAGGGTCCTCAGTTTTGTAAGCCAGTGTCACGAGAACACGGAGGGTTCAGTTCCTGTACCTGGGCTGAGTGTGTGGCCGGGGCAACGCAGTCAACTTCTCTGGGCCCGTTCACCTGTCAGCTGGGGCCCGAGGCTGGCCCACAGCTCTCCCTGGACAGCGGTAAGGGTCAACCAGGGTGGTGGGAACTGGGGAGGATGGCGCTTCGTGGAGCCCAGCCGCCTTCCAGATGGCCACGAAGAAACAAGAGTACGGGGAGCTGAAGCCACCTGGGAGACCCGTCAGCATATTTGGGCATAGTTTGGGCCGATCGGTATTATTTGGGGGTGCAGGGCCAGCCTTCTGTTTACCACGGCTCCTGTGAGACAGTGGCTTGGAATAGTCATTCCCCCTTTATGAGGAAATCACGTCTTCTTGGGGTGCAGTCTTAGGCTCCAGGAGCAAGACCTCAGTGGACGAATTGGGGAGGAAGAGGGAAGGATTACAGAGGCCTCCCTGCATCCCTGAAATCCCCAGAGGGGTCCTCTTGCCTAGACAACACAGCTGGCCTTCTAGAATGTAACGAGTCCCTGTAGGTATTTACTCTGAGCTTATGACGCTTGGGAAGCCTTCCTTCCTGGGGGTCCTCAGCTCATACAAGGCCCAGTACCTTCCTGGATGAGGGGTTCACAAGTGTCCATCCCTCAGTCCACAGGGCTGCAGCTCCCGCCTTTGTGGCTCCATGTGGCTTCCATAAATAAGCTCTACCGTCCCCTGGAGCACATCATCTTTTCGAGAGGACCCTCCAACCTTTGCTTCTCGTGTCTGCCAGGGGCTCATCTGCCACAGCCATGCACCTGGCTCTTCCCCGCCTGCCCCAGGTCCCATCTGATCGATGCGTTTGGGAGAGGGCCTTGGGCGTGCTCACGGTGGCCCTTCAGAGCCCCCTCCGCCCCAGGCCTTGTCTCTCGGATGCCTGAGTTCTTGGCTTGCTCTCGCAGGCACGTCGTGGGGCTCTGCCTCTGCCACGGGGAGGCCAGCGGTTTGGGATGGGCGAATTTACCTGAGCCGTGATGTTAGGGAATCTGACCGAGTCCAGATGCCAAGCCACATTCTCAGATTCCACTTCCCTAAGTAAGTGAGCTGGCAGTTTGCTCTCCACTTGCCAGAACTCAGGAGCTAAAGGGTGTTTTCGTACTTCCCTAAAGCCTCCAGCATATGACCAGACTTGTTTTCTCCCTCTAAACTATGAGCGACTGACTCCCAGCCACAGCCATCTCCGCATTCCTTAGCACAGGCTCTAGCGTTTAGCAGGTGTTCAAAGTGCAGTCTGAAGATTAGCGAATGCTCAGTGAAGGCCAGAGATGGGCCATTTCTGGGGCACAGGCCAATGAAGCAAGTCGAGGGTCAGAGAAGCAACAGCAAACAGTTTCCCTGACCCTTCACCGATGGCTAAATTCAAGTTTAAAAAAAAAAAAAAAAAGAACAAAGGGCCTTGTGAGCTTATGTAAGAGATGGTAAGAGTCTGCACCAAAGGAACAGCAAGACAGAATGAAACTGGCTCCCGGAACCGAGAGCTTGTCAGGCCCTACGAGAATGCACTTGAACCGTGCAGGGCAGGCTCTGAGAGGTCACTCTCTGATGGGGTCCCAGGCACAGAGATTCTGTGCTGGTTGCTGGAAGCTGACAGCCTCTAACCGGAGGTAAGGGGTTGCTCAGGGTCATGGACACTTTCCACCTTTCTGAGAGCTCACACTGAGCTCTGACAGTCCCCTTTGGAATCACTTGGTTTGTCCTTGTCATTCTGTTGCTGTGGAACATGTTGGAAATAAAATCCCCTCTCTGCTTGCAAACTTCCCATGGTTCCCTACTGCAGGTGAATGTAACCGAATGTTTTTTGTTTTGTTTTAATTTTTATTTTTAGTTTAGAGACAGCGTGCATGAGGGAGAAGAGCACAGAGAGAGAGAGAGAGAGAGAGAGAGAGAGAGAGAGAGAGAGAATCTCAAGCAGGTTCCATGCTCAGTGCAGAGCCTGACATGGGGCTTGATCCCACGACCCTGGGATCATGACCTGAGCCAAAATCAACAGTCAGATACTCAACCGACTGAGCCACCCAGGTGCCCCTGTAACCCAATTGTTTTTGCTCAGCGTTCAAAATTAGGGCCCTGCCACCTTTCCGACTGCCTCCCGCGATGTTTAGTTCACGGTCTCACCCCCACACCTCTGCTTGTGCTGTTCCTTCTGCCCCAAATGCCCTCCCCGAGTGGCCATCTGTGAAGACTCCTGGCTCTCAGCCCCAGCACACTCCAGCTGCACTTGCCTTCCCTAGACACCCCCAGGGAAGCCACCTCTCACACTCCTGTTCTTCCAGTGCCCTGTGTGTGCTCTGGGAAGCATGCACCCCAGTCCACCTTGTCCCATGAGAGCTGTGTGTGTGCTCGCTTTCCCACTAGAGGCTGTGGTCCTGGATGGCCAGTCGAGCTGCTCTGCCTTGGCGTTGAACCATGCCTTGCGTGGAGGGCCTTCTGAAATCACTTGCTGAACCATCTATGGGCGTTATCTGAAAGAGCTAAGCTCTGCATGTAAGGCTGAGGACTGTTTCTTCCTCAAGGTGAAGAGCTGTTTCTGGTTGGGGGACCCAGTGTAGATGCACTCACAGTCTCCCACAGGTCTGGTTTCCCCATTCATTCATTCATTCATTCACTCATTCATTCATTCATTCTTCTAACACTTGTCAAGCACCTGCTTCATGTCAGCTGCAAGGTTGAGAAGTGGCTTACAACATGCCTTCCCTGGGCTCAGGGTTGTGCATGTTGTGCACTGTGCAAAGGTGCTGGGCAGAGGGGGGCTGAAATCTAGCCTGGATCCTGCTGGCAGGCTGTGTGCCTGCTGCAGGGCTGCATTTGCCCAGAGAGATGCAAAGTGCCTTCTCACAAATGTGCCTTCAGCTAGTTAGTTAGGCCTGTTCTCTGCGGGATAGTCTACCCGGAGGGGACACCTATTTTGGAACTCAGATAAAGGAGGAGCAGTATATGCTGGAGGCAGTTCAAGGGCGGCACCTTGTCTGGGTACTCAGATCTTCCATTCCACCTGAGGTCTGGCCGACAGGGATGCAGGAAAAGACCCGTGTGCCATCAGGTGCTCTCCAATCATACAGGTCAGGCCTGCAGGCAGGCAGGGAGCTAGGCCAGTGGGCCCCCTGACTCTCTAAAACCATTTCCTTTACCCCAAACCCTACTTCCCTGACTTGCGCTTGGAAAACAAACCTTAGCAACTTGGTTCTGGGATAGCTCCTGCACATGGGGGGCCGAGGAGTCCCCATGGTGAGCACAGGGCATCTTCTGGAAGCATCAGGTGCTCCTAGAGCATAGCACCCGGACCACTGAATTCACTCTTTCATATCAAAGTCAGCACGAGGGCCTGATGAGTTTCCTGTCACCCTTGCAAGTCATGAAGGCCCAGGGGAGGGCTGCGCCCTTATCAGCTCTCCCCAGAACTGTTCTTTACTTTTCCTCCGGGGAAGGTCAGAAGTGAAAGAAGGCAGTGATTTTGTTTGCATGCATCGGTCCTAACCTGAGCTTCTCTGGGCCGAGCCCCAAGCTGGGCCTACAGTCCCCAGGATGAACATAGCCAGGGCCTTTCCTCCATGAAAGCTTGGCCAAATGCCTCTGTCAGGGTCTCAGCTTCCGGATCAACACTTATTTCTGAGTTTCCGAGTGGCTGTGTCAACCTGTCAGGGGGGAATGCCTCCCCCGGTGGCTTGGTAGGGGTGGCAGGACGGGCTCCTCACCCTCTAGCTGCATCGGAGACACCTGACCCCTCCGGGCCCTGGCCCAGCTGTTCTCCTGATGCCTCAATCCTTCCCCAAAGCCCTCCGCCCCTTTGGCTGATCTTGACTCATCATTCAAAGAGAAAACAGAAGCTGACAAAGCAGACCTTGAGCCTTCTCTTGCCACCACATTGACAAGCCCTCTGTTGTCCTCTGTGCCTATCCACTCTGCTCCTAACTGAGGGCCAATCCCTCTGCCTGAGCCCTGGACCCCACCACTCTCTTGCTTTCTAGAGGGATTCAGACCCCCACATATCCTCTCTCTCTTCAGGGCAAGGAAGGTCTCAGTCTTGACGTGATCATTCCCAGCAGCAATCAACATGCTTCTGTGTCAGCCATTTGTGAAGCCCCCTAACTTGAACCCACACTCCTCCCCAGCTACCCCTCATTTCTCCCCTCTGCTGCATAGGGGCCCTTCCTGGAAGGATTAGGTACCCCCTGCCTGTCTTCGTCACTGCCATCCACCCTGCAGCCACATCAGGAGGCTCCATCTCTGGCCCCCAAAGCCTCACCTGTCATGGCCGCCGACAACTCCCATCCGCCACGACCAACAAATGCTTCTGTCTGCACCTCTTCAACCTCCCAGCAGCACGTCCTACCAGCCGTATCCTCCTTAATAACAGTGATTTGAGGAGTTCTCAAGCGCTTGCTGCCCACTGAACACTCCCCATGTGTTATGTGGTGTAGCTGTCACAACTGCCCTCATCTTCTGTCGGAGAGCACTAGGCTACACCCAGGTGACACCGGGATTTTCACAAGCCCGACTTCAGAGCCCTTGATCGCGCCGCACAGGCCCCTTGGAAGGAAACCCTTTCAGCTGCCCAGTGCCACCTCTCCGGTTCCCCTCCTGCCTCCCTGACCTCCCCCTCCTTGCCCTCGATTTGGCTTTTCCCCTCCTGCCGCCCAAATTTTAAATGTGGGAGGGGCTTGGATCACACGCAGTCCTGTCCCTTTCCCTGCTCCCTGGACATTCTCTTCCTGGGCCTTCTTATCACACCCCTTGGCCTTAAATCCTCACTCCCGAATGTCTGTTTCATTTCAGCCAAAACCTGACGTGGAGGCTTGACTGTCCGGCTGCCCACGTGCCGTCTTCATTTGCGCATCCTCAGGCACCAGACACTTCCAAGTTCAAACACGACTCTGGTTTCCCTTCCTCCCTGACCCTAATGCATCAGTTCTCAATGCCCGCTCCCCCGCCATGGCTTCCCATCACAGAGAACAGCGTCACCAGTCACCCGCTGACTCAGGCCCCAAACACAGAACTCTTCCCAGATTCTTCTTTTCTCCTTCTCCCCCAACTTCACACCCACCGGAGAGTCCTATGGATCCTGTTGGACAGTGCGTCTCAGGGCCCACCTCCCTCTGCCTCAGACACCGAGCCGCACCCTCTGTATTCCACTCTTTCTGTTCCCACCCGTCTGACCCTTTCACCCTCCTGCTAGAAGGCCATCGGTAGCTTTTCAATGCTTTTAGGATTAAGTTAAAGATCTTAGCATGGCTACCAGGGGCCCTGCAGGACTGTGCCTCACCTCGGGCCATGTCGTTTCTTTCTCCTTAGGCTCCAGGCCCAGGGGCCCTGCCATTTCTCCAACACTCTCCGGCACCGTCTGCAGGCCTCCCGGGTGCTGTCCTGTGCCTCCCCGCCCGTGTCCCAACCACCGCCAATCACTCCTCAGGCCTCCGGTCCCATGCCCAGACCTGCTCTGGCTCCCGGCTTGGGGCGACCTCTGTCGTCAGTTCTCATGAGAGACCAACCCTGACCCTTCATAGCACGTGGCACAATGAGAATTAATCTGTAATTGTTTTCTCTCACATCTGTCAACTCCATGAAGGCAGGGACCGTGTCTGTCTTTATGACCACTGCTCTCCTGAGCCTCACTCTGACTGTGGCCCATAAACACGTGCCGGAAGACGTTGTGCTGAACGCCTGAGCGCCCACCCGGGGTTAGAGCGGGGGTGCTGAATTCTGGCTTCTCCCCTTACTGGCCATGTAACATTAGGCAAGTGACTTGACAGCTGTGTATCCGTTTCTTCGTAGGTAAAATGGGGTGATTAAGGTGTTTACACCTCATAAGGCAATTAAGGCATATAAAGTCCTTGGAATAAAGTCTGATACCTGGACAGTGCTTGGTAAATGTTAGCTACCTGTAGAATGTAGACCATTTAGTCAAAGCCACTCCGGGCAGGAGCAGGGGCTGGTTTGCTTAATCTAGACTGGCCCTGAATGGGGCTCGCCCGACCCCCAGGTACTGAGCGTTCCCTCCTGCAGGGGCTTTCTGTGTGGTGACCCATACACTACCCGTCTGGGAGCTGGGGGCTATGCCACAGGATGACCCCTCGATCCTGCGGATGCAGCCTTTGGGAGGCTGGGAGGAGCCTGGTAAGGGGGTGGGGGCGGGGTGTAGGCTGGGACAGGGCCAGGGAATTTGTGAGAGTATCACCGCTTTAAGTTCCCAGCAGAAATCAGAAAATCTGATCTTGCACATCTAAGAATAGCCACTAGTTTCAACTGTGAGAGCGCCAAAGTGAAAGCTATAATTATTAGTAAGTAACAAGCAGAAATTAACCACCTACCGCAAAGTCATTTTTAGCCGCCATCCCAACGTGGAAATTAAAAGATGGGCAACAAAAAGCTGCCGCCTGGTGTGGCAAAGGCTCTGGTTGAACCTGGAAGGTCTGTGAATGTGTGAGTCTCCGATGGCCAACCATCGGTTTGCCTCCTAAAGAAGTACAGCTCCTAGGGAAATGGGTTTTGCGGTACAATAAGCATCACGTGCTCTAACGGAGCTCCCCTGAGTCTGTCTCATTCCCCAGTAAGACCACAGAGGCACTTATTTCCATCTGGCCTGGGTTCTCCCACAAAGGAGAGGAGA